TATTCTTTATATAAGAATTCATAGTGAAAACCCAAAATTTCATCAACTTAATAATAACTACAATTGATACATTGTCTATTACCAATACATATCGCAAATTATATGAACATCTCCCCTTATGTAAATATTTGTTCAATTTTAAATTGCAACAAATAAGTTGCACAAATGTAAATATAATTAATATGATGGATAAATATTTACCATTTTTTTCAGTTCATAAGATTTTTATAAAGTGAATATTGGCATTTAATAAATTATTTATATGAATTAATTTTTAGGTTCGAGCTGCCAGAAATTTTGATATTACCGGAATTGTTGGACAATGGTACGTTGTCCAGTATTATGCATCTTCTGAAGAATTACCATTGTACAGTTGTATGAGGGCTGTTTTTATGCAAAATGCATTAGAAGTAAGTTTCAGACATAAGTGTAAAATTAAGTTTATTAAATTGATTGAAAACTAGTCCATTTTCAAGCTTAAAAGTAAAGTCAAGTATTAAATTAAAGTCCAGTTTTGAGTGAAGTCTAGTATTTATGTAGAGTCTAGTATTAACTTCTGATATTTTGAAATTTTTTAGATAATTGGTGTGATTTTGTTCTAAAGAACATAAAACAGTTCGTACTAAGAAATAATTTTCCAAATTCAATAGAAGTTAAGTGCGCATCTTATCTCTGCCGAATAGGACTTAAAACTTAAAACCCCAAAACTGCTCTATAATATTGCCTTTGAGTCTATAATAGCTCTAAAATAAAATCATGCAGAATCTATTCATCACAAGATTTCAGTACTACAGCAATTCATATTAAACCAAAATATAATGATGGTCTTTGCATCCAAAAATAAAGATTAACTTTTAAAGAACTCAAAGGAACATCAATTTATAATTTAAGAAATTATTGTTTTCAAGAATAAACAATTATTAAGGTCTCCAAAAATCAGCATTGCTATTTATTCTGATCTTTGAAGCTCCAACTTCATATTTAGGATAATTGTTTTTTCATAATTTTATTAAAATATATAATTATTTACAGGTTGATATGAACTTTACATATATGTTTGCTGATGATCCTTTATTTGAACAATTGGAAGGAAATATAACATGGACCATTCCTAATCCAGATACGATGGCACATTGGGTTCATAAGGAAGACACTTGTAAGATATTTTAATAAATAAATTTTAATAAATAATAAAAATGAATAAATGAATAAATAATACATTTGAAACTGCAAATTCAACTCTATCACTAAGATTAAACATGACAAATTTTGGCAAAATATTAATGACTAATAAAATAGTATAATAAAAATCACTTTTTTGTTGGGCGTTCATATGAAGAATTGAGTAAAAATAGTTTTGGATGCATTTTTCTTGCCAACACGATTTTCTAAATTATACAATATATTATATTAACTTCCTTAAGGCGGAGTATATATTTTTGCCAGAATAACCAATTTGTTAATTCCATGTTTTCTCGACGTCTTGAGTCATTCTGAATCTTTTCACAATAACACTTCAAAAATATTTAAAATCATATTTTTCTACATTTGCATTGCATCTAGAACATAAAAATTACCCACAAAATACCCTCCACAGATTTTTTTAAAATAAAACTCTATATTAAGTGTTTATGTTCACTAATTTTTGTACAGTTTTATATAAATCTAATTGTGTTAATTTTTCAGAAAAATATTTGTTAAGTATAAATTATTATTTTAGATGAAGGTATATACAATACATATGTACTGGACTCAGATTACAAGGATTGGACTTTGTTGATGCATTGTGCAGAAAAAGAAGAAAGTACCAGATATTTGTCAGCACTTTTGCTATCCCGAAAACCAGATTTAACTATTAACGTCATTTCTTACCTCAGGTAAGAAAAACTTGCTTATAAACCTTTTTTTTAAATACCTAAAACTTGGACGTCTAAATTATTGAATGTTTAGTCAACATTTTTTGACATAATATGACATTAATGATGAATTTTATGGTAATTCTGATAAATGCAGATATTGGAAATTAAATGTGATGTCTAATTGACAAGAAATATTCCAAATTTGAGTTAATAAATATTATAGGAAGATTTGAAACTAATTGGATTTTCATCGCTCTAATTGCAAAAAAAAATAATTTAAAATTAATTTCAATAGAGGATATAAATTCATTAGGTAAAACTGATCTAATGAGTTTATATAAAGTAATAATCAACTAATGAAACTGCTTCATTTAAAAAAACACTCCTAGTACGCTGACGATACAAACATAAATGCTGACTATACAATTTGCACAATAAAAATTAATTGTATTTAAATATTATTATACACTTTTTACCATTATGTTTACAATGATTTCTTTATCCGATATCACTATCTTAAGTTCCTAAAAAATACTTCTTAAACAAATAAAACTTATTTAGTTTCTAATTTTATTCTTAAGGGACAAATTACCAAAATACGGCATCGACACTGAATATCTGTTCCCAATGGACCAGAAAAATTGCAAACCAGGAATACCAAGAACTTTGGATCCTTTTGCAAGAAAATTAGTTATTCCAGGTAATGAAAATATTTCCTCCAATGGAGGAGGCAAAAAGAAACATCCTTTACAAAGACATCATAAAAAACGAAGACAAGAAAGATCTGAATATTATTGAAGAAATTAAACAAAATACTTAATATTGAACTATTTACATACTAGCCTAGTAAATAATTTATCAATATTATTATTCTCTAGAAGATGTTAAGATAATACTCAAAGAACTTTTATACTAATGAAACAAAATAAATTTTTGTTACTCAATACTCGAAATATAACACACTGCCAGAAATATTGATGAAATAAAAAAATATTTTACAAAATTATTTTTTTACTAAAAATTTATCATACATATGTCGTATTCTGATTTAACACGTTAGTCAAATATTTCTCAACTAAAAGCACTTTGCATAATGTATAACACAAATGTTAGATTTTTATTAGTTATTTATTACAATCATTATATCTTCAATTATTAATTACCTATTAATTATTAGAAACCAATAATTAATTTTTAATGATTATATTATACGATAATTGTCGATATGGATTGTATAATGAGAAATTCGAGCCGAGTTCCAGGAGATCCAAACGCATTTAGTAATCAACAAACACGAATTTTGATAACAAATATTATGTGAATGACTACAACAATGCATTGTTGACATTCGATCGTTTTTATTCAAACCGATACTAAACATATGACTCTAAAACTTTACCGAAAATTTTTAATTTAAATTGAAGTTTTAGAGCCTTGGTTTTGTAAAAACAAGGTTTCAAGTTCAAATCTCGCGTTGGGTGCAACTTGATATCAAGAAATTGTGATTTACTTGAGAATATAGATTAAAAACTATTTTCTAGGGTTTCAAGATCAAATCACCCTTGCAACTTGATATCTAGTTGTGATATCCATTTATACTAAAAAATATATATTAAAATATATTTTCCAATAAGAAACACTTTCTGACATTGTTGCGAAAAAACAATTAGAGCAGAAATGATGTTCTAATAATATATGAAAAATGTAAAAAAAACTATATTAACTGAAAAATTGAATGTAAATTAACTAACTAAAATAATTAACAATAATAGCTTACAGAATTCTAAATTCCGTTTGCCCTCCTAAAGCAAACACAAGCTAACCTTAAAAAAAACATTTAAGTTTGATTTGAGCATAGTGTAAATAAAACTAATTTATTTTTGTTCAATAAAGAAAGAAATTGCAATGTAAAATGATGGATTGAGTTAAAAAAATATTATAAATTCAAAAATTATGGGTTTAGGATAGAAGAGATTTTGTAATTTGATATACCGACTTCTGAAGCATATTAGATACATTTCATTTTCCCATACAAAAATGTCTTATTACTAGAAGAGCACAATTTATTCCTACAAAATTAATTGCATAATATATTTTTAAAAGATTAGGAATCTTTTGCTGTTTGTGTGATGTATATATACAGGCGAAAAATACAGTCAAAGGCGTTTTGTCAACAGTAATTCAGACATTTCACAATTGGTCATTGTGGTCTTCATGTAATAAATTAGTGAAAATCAAGTGACAGTGATCAATTATATAACAGAAATGTAAGTAGAATAGTAATAATAGGATGAATAACTTGATCATAAATATTTTGTAAACAATTGATAATAGAAGACTTCTTGATTGTAGAAGTAGTAGATATATTAGATAAGATGCAATGACTAGATTCAGTATAATATGAATCAATATCAATGTTATTATTTATTTATTTATTACAGTCCAAAAATGTTTATGGACAGCAATTTTATGAAATATTATTAACAGGTCCCAGAAATATCATTACTCATACCTGAGTATTTTTTGGAATATTTTACATATCTTTTTATATTAATCAAATTTCCCAAGTTGAAGTATGAAAATTCAATTCAAGACTAAGGTACTAAAAACCTTTAGATCACAAAACAACTTTTTAATAAATTAAATTGATTATGCAATATGTATTGAAATTTATCATCTTGATTAATTTATTACAATTAACTAAGTTGTTCATTCAATATATCACATATAAAATTAAAAGTCAGAAATATTTTTCATATAACTAGTTTATTAATATTCCATATTTACATTAACTTTAAAATAATTTTAAATATATTAAGATACTAATTTGTTAAATATTTAATTACAACATAAATTAAGTCAGACATATGCAGTGAATCACGTTGACAAAATGCGTCTTTTAAGAGCTATAAAGTTTCCACAATCGAAGCCTCTTCTTCATGATCATGTTTGGAAACTACGTTTTCTTCATTTTCAGTATTTTCATCATCAATATTTTCTTCAACATTTTCTTGGTGTTCAGTTTCCTCCTGGTTTTCAACTTTGTTGCAAGATTCCTCCTCCTGGACTTGTTCTACTGGTTCAAAAATTTCAGCGATTTCAGGTTCCTCCAAAAGTTGACTGTCTTCAACAGATCTTTTGGTTTTCTTGTTTTTCTTAGATTTTTTGTCCTGTACAGTAGCTTCAGCATTTTCAGATTTGGTGTATTTGTTTTTCTTTTGTTTCTTGGCAACTTGAGCTTCTTCATTTGCTGCAACAGTTTCCTCGGTTTTCTTGTTTTTCTTTCCTGTTTTTATTTTTTGGGTCTTCTCAGGTTTGCCATTTTGGGCATCAACTGGTTTCACTTTTTGTACCTTTTCCTTTGGCAATTTTTTCAATTCCTGAGTAGCTGCTTCAACAGCTTTTTTATGCTTTTTGTTTGGTACTTCTTGCTTGGCAGCATTTTTGGAGCAACCTTCAGGGTTTGTGCATTTGCGTTTAGACTTGCCTGATTTTGGAGATTCTTCTATGACTTTGGATGAATCCTTGAATAAAGGTAATTGAATGATGAAAACGAGATAATAGAAAACTTTGGAACAACATTAAGGTTAAAATAAACTTACTAAGACGCGACAAAATTTGAAAAATGCTCTGGAGAACCTCAATGCTTATAATGAAATTAAAATTTTTATTACCCAGCTTATTTTTTATAGTAAGCCGTTAACCCTTTGCACTCCGTAGGCGCCGCTGTGGCGCATACGGTGCTACAGCGGCAACCTTGAAGTGCAAAGGGTTAAAATTAATTATTTTTCAAACTCACTGTTTGCTTGACCTCACGCTTTTCCCTTTTGCTTTCGAATCCTTTTTGAGTGTCCTGCAAATATTTTTCCTTGTGATGTTTTACTGCTTTGTCGACTTTTTCTGCAGATTTAATGTCCTTGGATTTTTTATCGGATTTGGCTTTTTTGGCATCTGCAAAATCACCAAAGATTGCCAAGCACATCAGGGCGATGCAAATGAACCACATCAACCTAGGAAAAAATAATGAAAAATTATTTAAAAATTATTATTTATTAGTTCCAAAACATTATCATGTATGAAATTTAATCCAACCTCTTCTGCAATAACGTACTGAGTTGGTGATTGAAGTATCAATCAATATGATTGAAATAACAATACTAAACATAATTTAGTTTGGTGTAAGAAAATTTAGTGGAGATTAAAATAAAAATCAAATACAAAATTAACGTAGGATATCAATTAAATGTTATAATCAATAGAAGTAACTATAAACACAAAATTACTCCTAGAACATGAAGAATAAATGTCATTACTGTTCATAAAATAAGGTACAATAATATTACAAGTTACTTCAAATTTAATGGCATATTCCTACTTCATAATAAAATTTGTATCTAAAAATAATTTGTATCTATGAATATTTCAAAATAATATTTTATGATTCCAACTGATATGAATAGTGAATTTGTAAACAAAAACAAGTTTTCTGATAAGGCAGGTAGAATCCAATTCCATTTACGTAAGATGGTACCACAAAACTAAATCACAAGTAAATTATGATAAAACAAGTTTTTAAAGATTGATAAGATAAAAATGAACAGTAATTCAAGATGTCTATTTACTATATTAATTATGCGTAGTAAAATTTACTACGTTTTTCAGACAAAATGCTAAGTATGTGAATTTTCTACGAGATTAATTAGTTGATTAAAAATAAATTTTGCTTATCTATAAATCAGTGTTAATTGCACATGGTTTTTAAACCAAAATAAATGATTGCTTGCATAAATTATGACGTTCATAAATATTTATAAAAGTAGTTGCCAAATTAGAAATTGATTTTGCATTTCACTAAATTGAATTGTAAAAATATGAAAATATTGAAAATCCAAAATCATAAAAAATTGCTAAAATATAAAAAAAATTGATTCAATTAAAATGATTTAACTTGAATAATTGTTCAGGATTTTATATAATCTACGAAAATGGTTATTCACTTTTACGTATAATTGATATAAAATAATTAAATAAATAAATAAATAAAATTTGAATTAAATATTCAATTTAAAATTATGCTTGGATCAAAAATATCAAATAGCAATAATTGTTTTACTTATAAATAAAGAATTTTCTAAATATTAAATACAAAAAATAGGAACGTTAATGAAAAACAATGAAAATGCGTATAACATGACAAATTTATGCAAAAACCGTTGTGAATGTAAATTAATTAAAAGAAATTAGAAAATTTTAATAAAAATTTAATAAAATATGAACCAACAAAATCTTAACACATTTGTTGTATTTTTACATGGATTGGTAAATAAATTGGCAAACGAATTTTGAATCGAAATCTCAACTCAAATCAGAATTTTATAGGAAATCTATAAAAAAAAAACGAATCAACAAGTCACCAAAAGATAAATCAAATTCAATGCACATGTAATTAAAACGAATTTATACATTTTACATTAACGAGTTGCAACAAAATTCGAATATTTTGAAAAAATAGTAAAAAAACTGCAAGTATACATGAGTTATTACATTGATTTACAAATCAAACAAAAATAATACAATGCAAAAAATAGTTCACGTAATGAAACGAGCGTCAAAAATGTTGGAATCAAATCAACAAAATTGTCTTCGAGAAAACAAAATACAACTTACAACAAAATGTAATGCTAATTACTTGATGCTAAGAAAATTGAAGGATTTTGAAAAATGCATAAATTTGAAAATTTATGTTATATAAAAAGATGAAACTGAAGGTAAAATACAGCCAATTATTGACGTAACGAACGAAAGCAGCAAAAAAAAATCACAAAAACACACAAAATAATAAAATTAACCAAAATATCCACTAACCTCATGTTGGATAAATTCCTGTCCTCCTAACCAATTGACTAACAAATCCGCACTGATATCTTCTGATCAACTAAAATTCGCTTCTTAGCCAAATCCTTTCCTCCGTCTAATTCCCCAGCCGAAGACTTCTTCACCAATGGTAGATTTCACCAGTAGTTCTTGATCGTTGGCCGATCGAAGCGAGAATGATTTTCTCCAACGTTCTTATCACTTAACAAATGTCATCCGGTGCAACGCACTGACATCTGTTATCAGCTATCAAAATAAAAGCATCTCTGTCGCCTGATTCATCCTTGGATTGACGCAGTTGGTAATGGAATTGTTGTATCCTGATCAGGGTTTGCCAGTAGATGGGGAGATAAATTTAGTAATAGATAGATGATGGCTCAGCCGTCTGTCGATTTGTTTAGAAGTTTAAATTTCGAATTTGCCTCCTGATTATTTCTTGGACTGACTAACTTGGTAGAGGAATTGTTGGCAGCTAACTGGTTCATTTGTTGATTATCGACATGGAAATTCAAATTTCAAATTTGCCTCCAGATTTCTCATTGAACTGATGCAGTTGATGATGGAATTATGACGTGTTGATCAGAGTTTGGCAGTAGATGGGAGGATTAATTTATTTTTGGATAATAAGCTAGATACGTCATTGGCTTAACTAACTGGTCAATTCATTGGTTATCGATATGGGACTTCAAATTTCAAATCTGCCTCCTGATTTTTTCTTGAACTGACGCAGTTGGTATTGGAATTGTTATATCTTGATCAGGGTTTGCCAGTAGATGGGAGGACAGACTAATTTTTGGATGATAAGCTAAATACATTGTTGACTCAGCTAATGGAAGTTCACATTTCTCAAATCTGTCGCCTGAGTTTTTCTTGGACTAGCGTAATTGCTAATGGAATTGTTATATCCTGATCAAGGCTTAAGAACCTGATTAAGAATTTATTTATTTTTAAATAATTTTGAATTTAAAAGCGCAATCCGTTGATAACTTTCTTAGTTGATCAATTCGTTGATTGTCGATAGGTAGTTGGCTATCGAATGGTAGTTCAGGTATTACATTATCACCTTTTTCTACAAAAAATTAACTTACGTTGTTCATTCATAAACAGTAATACTAATGATCGCAAAATTACCATGTGATGTATAAATGTGCATACTACTCCGAATTTTACAAATTTTAAATTCTTGATTGAACTTTCTTTCTTCTCATACTAATTTTTTTTTTGATTAAAAATTAATCATAGATACAGTTTTAAATATTGAAAATTCAATTTCAAATAAACATAATACATGGATTTTAAGTATAAAAATACTCACTCTAAGAATTTGAAACAACTTTTCTTCAAATTTACTTAACAATATATTATTTGAGTCGCATATTTTATATTGACATGTTTTATGATTTCAATAGAATTAAACCTAATTGTAAGAAAAATATTTAGGAAATCAAAGTTACTCGTAATAACAAATTTACCTGCGTCAAATGCTCAAATCAAATAAATTAATGCGATTAAGATCAAAGTAAATAAAAGACGAACCTACTGATAATAAAATTAGATTTTCCACTGGGCTAAAATATCTAAAGGTACATCTATTTTTAAAATTGTTGTTTATTTGATTTGTGATAAAAAAATCTGTTATTTGAAAAATAATATGCGTGGTACTAAAAATACAACATATACTATGATCGGAATAAAGTTTATAATATCACAAAAATTATTCTAAGAAAGTAAAAATATAATTAAATCTAATAAATTATGTATGAATAACACTATTTAATAAAATTGATCATATCTTTTTTGTTTAAATATCTACTAAATCAGTAATTGATTAAAAATGCTTTTATTAAAAGTTAATAACATCAATTAACATATCATCTGTTTTACAAGATATTTTGTTGATCTTGATTATTTTATCTTTTAATTAGTAAAAAAAACTTGCTAATGAGATATTAATCTTCTTGATTCAACATGAATTTTTAATTTCATCTTATTTGATAATATAATCGAAAAATTATGTAATAAATTTTGAGTTGTAAAATTAAAATTTTTAATCTTCTAATGATTAATTTCTTGATAATGTAAAAAAAAATATTAGTTTTATTGTAAAATTATTTGCTTAATTAAAAATGCTTGGAAAACATAATTTTGACTCAAAAAAAGGAATGTCTAAAACTTGTGATGAACAAAATCGTTCATGATGCCCACTAAGTAAATAATAAGACTTGTTTTTAATAAGACAACAAAGTAAAAATTTATGATATGATTCATCTATATTTAATTATGAATGCGTACTAGCCAGCAGACTGATAAAATCCCGCAAAAATATAAATATTTATCATACTTAATTAAGCACACATTAAAAGACGACAATATTTAAATATATTTAGCTTTACATACAAAAATTCTGGATAAATCATAAAGTATATTTAATTAGAATCCAATTTGAACATAACTGAAATGTTGGTAATTTTTGTAATGAAAAAGTGCATTCTTATAATGGGCTTTATGTGGCCTAGTAGTTAAAACCATAGATTTTGAATCAGAAATGCCAGTTTAAATACTCTTCCTGGACAACTTGATGTCAAGCAGCATTGACATCTGTTTTCACTTGAAAATATAGTTAGCAATATGTTCCCAAGTAAAAATAGCCCTTACTCCAAATTGCTGCACAAATAAAAAATGCATTAGTATTACGAATATCGTAATAATAATTGTATCACATAATGATAGAAGAACCAGGGTTGCAATATATGCAATATAAAGTCCATCGTTTAAGAAGTTGGCACAACAGTTTATAGTACCCGTGAAGTTATGATTGCTGTTAAAAATAATAAATATTAATATATGTTAAATGTAAGGCCAGTATGAAAACTTCCATTTCAAAATAATTCCGACATGTGCGATTGCGCAGTTTAAAATGTTCCTCATCCAAGACAAGAAAACACAATAGTCGTTGTTGTTGTTATTTCCTCTGGTCATTTCCGGCAGTTTTAATCCCATTCAAGCACTGTTAAAACACCTTTTATCACTGACATGAACAGATATAATACAAGTTTAACATATACTTACTTAGCATTTCAGTCAGAACCAAATTAGATAGAAATATTTAATGTAAATTATTTTTAAAACAGAAGATTTTTTACCCAAATATATACTTTAATGTCATACTGCCAATTGAAGGCTTCGAGTTTGAAGGCATAGAATTACATTTTGTATTTTCCTAAATAAAAGTCTAAGAGGATTGTAAATAAAATCCAACTCAGATTTCAAAGCTGAAAATAGAAAAGTTGGTTTAACCTGATTATGCACCTAGCATCATACCAGAGCTACGTAAAAACCACAAATTTTGTTAAAAAATTATTTTTCATTTTGGAATCAGCAGCACCAATTCCTTCATAAATTGTAAGCAAATTTGTTGAAGTGACAAATAAAATATTGCATAACAAAATCTAAAAAAATAAAAGTAGATTATAAGTAAAAAAGTGAAGAAAAGTCAATTCTTCTCTCTGCAACTTCCAAATTATTTCCAATTTCTATCTCACAATTCTGACTTAATTTGTTGATCTAAAAATCAACTTTATAATTTTTATAGCTAGTTGTACATTTATATTTATCAAAAGATGCGACTCTGTAAAAACATTCCATTTACACACTCACCTAATTCTTTCTCATGGAAATGAACAAATGTAATATTGCAATTACAATCATATGTGGAGCATACGAATGTCAGTCAGTCCTTTACACTCATTACTGTAAATCAAAATAAATAAGTCTGCAAATTCATAAACATTTTCTTGAATCATGGAATCTTGAATCAATGTACTTGAATCATGGAATTGAGAATAATTGATCTTATTTACCTACCTCTGAAACATTTATCTCATATTCTTCAGAATTTTGAAAAAAATGAGAAATAATTAATAATTCATTACTTTATTGTACAACGAAATTTTCTTTAGCATTAGTATAATAATTATTTTATATTAACTGAACATGATATGTTAAATAATATTTTAACTCAAAAGGACAAAAATTAAGATAAAATTTACAATACAATAATTTCAATAAGTATGAATGAAAAATAATTCATTAGCTCATATAAAATAATCTATATATCATATATTGAATTATTGAACAATTATTCTTCCTAGCAAAATTTTTTGTCGCTGAAAATCCATTATATCATTTACAGCTTACTTATATAAACAAGAGTACGTGACTTTGCCAATTAAAAATGATAGAATTTTATAAAACTTGATAATTTATAGCAAACTTCTTCATGAAGCACAAAATTTCACAAAATAAAAATTATAACAAATTATTTAATGTTTCCAATACTTATTTCCATTCATGTTCATTTTTATCTATTGGTATGATAATATTTTGCCGATATAAACTAAGATAAATATCTCTGGTCAATAATATAAATAATTTATAAATTTTGCTTCTAAGGTTTGGTAATTTAAAATTATGCATAAGCTGCTCCATAGAGCTTTTGAATTATTTTTGAGTACTCTATCACTTATCAAAATTTGAAAACTAAGTCTCTAATGTATACCTGCAAATCTAAAAACAATAATTTAAATGCAAAATATTTAATGCAAAAGTAATAATTTGGACAATATAATAGAGTATATATGTGTACATATATATTATATGTTAATATTCAAACTTCGATATTAGTTCCTAAAGTTATAAAATTATTAATTCAATTCAATATTATAAATTTACTGTACATACATCAAATTTAGTTTGAACTTATACTTATAAATTTACATGAATGCTCAAAAAATTAGTCAGTAAGATGTCAGTAGGAAATCATGATGATTGAATTTTGGTTACGATCAACAAACAATAATAAGTTTCAAAGACTTTTCCCAGTTTGCTTAGTTTTTATTTGATTTATCTAGAAATTGGCCTTTTATTTTTAGCCTGATAATATACAAATATTTTCTGTAGTTTTTTACAAGTATTATTTACCTTTTCTGAAAGTTTTCTCTCCTCTGCTCTACCGCATGGTGGGCAGTTCATAAAGTACGAATATGTTCTACGAATTTCAACTGTTAGTATAGTACGACCGACAATCAGTTTAAAGTTGGCGCCTCGAGAACAACCTCTTGACCTCCGACAAACTTGACCTAAACTCAAATTTTAAACTAT